CTCTCTCTCTCTCTCTCTCTCTCTCTCTCTCTCTCTCTCACTCCGCTGGGGACCGGCCACTCCTGGAGACATGGGACGAGGCCAGAACTGCACCAGCTATGAGGCCTAGCCTGGGGCCACCACAGTATATTCTTACCCTAGCCCAACCCAAAAATCTCTACTGGATTCTCGGAAAGGAGGAGCAAAGGCCAGAGTTTTTGGGTTCCAGCCCTGGACGGGTCCCAGACCCAAGATGTTACTTTGAGCTAGAACCAGCCCCAGCCCTTCCCTCCCTCTTCTGGTCTCTGTTTTCCGATCTGTCTGCTGGGGTGGGGTGGGAACTAACTGACCTCAAAGATCCCTCAGGCTCTAGGTCTCCAGAAGGCTCCTACCTACCCTTTCCTCGGTCCGTAGGAAGTCGCCTCACCTCCATCTCGCACACCCCCTCCAAGGTAAACTACCCGGGACAGCTGAATTGGGGGACCCACAGCCCTATCCCAGGCGGGGGTTGGGTGGCCGTGGATGTTCACTGACGTGGAAGGATCCTGGGGACCACTGGGGAAATCAAGGGGCCCCAGCCCTCACCGGGCTCCAGCGGATCAGATGGTCGGTCCCCGGGTCACCCACCAGCGCCCACAGCTTGCCGAGGAAGGCAGGCACGGGGCTGGGGCCCGGCTCCGTGGGCAGCGCTGCTGGCGCTTCCTGCATGGCGCAGTCTCGGCCCGGCTAAGCGCTCGGGCCCGGGCGCCGCGGGCTTGTCAAAGCCGCGGAAAGTGCTGCGTTTGCCGCCCGTCCCTCCCTACTCCGCCTCCGGGCGCCGGGTCAGGCGGGGGCCACGTGCGAACCCACGGGGCGGGGCTCAGGCCGCGGCCGCAGCAACAGCAGACAGAAAGGGAAGGCTGGGATCCGATGTGAGTGGAGGGTGCGGTGGGGACGGAGACCTGGGTTCGAGTGCCACCCTTTGTTCTTAGGGAGAAATCGCCCGTGCGCGGCCTGGTGTGGGCTGAAAAAGTCTAGAAGGTGATGGCCATGGCCTGGATAGAGAGGGCAGATAGAAGTGAAGGGGTGGGGGTGCGGAGAGGAGAAGCTGGCACCCTCCCGAAGAACTCTGAGACATTGTCTTTCCAAGGATGCGGAGTGCCCGGTCCCTGACCGCCGCAGCCGCAGCCGTAGCTTATCAGTACAAATGATCTCTCCTACGCCTACCTGGTGGGGTCCTCTGGCCTCTGCGGGTTCCCTGCTCTCCCTGTTCAGAGCCAGCGCCGCCTTGCACAGGACGCAGTGTCGCTGCAGGATTTTTTTATTTCACACTCTCCCCAGAGGCGCCGCCTGAGCCTGTGTCCTGTCTCCCCACCACCCCGCTCCCCATGCCAGGGACGCGGAGCTAGCGGAGCTTCCATAGGGAAGTGGGGTTGAAGGAGGGTGATCCCACTACGGAAATACACCCATGGGACTCAGGACGCAGGGGCTGGTCCCGAGGCAACAGAGTCCTGAAGGAGCGGGCTAGTAGTAGGTGCACGCCTAGGCAAATGCATCTAGCATCTCAGTGGCCACATATCTGCTGGGGAGGCGGCTAGCCATCACGCCACAAGAGTGGGCAGCCAGGGATGTGGCTCCCGGGTTAGTTTGAGTGTGTAGCTGCGCAGGCGCGGACAGTGCGCGCGGAAGGCGTGCAGCACGGAGGGTCGCACGACGCAGAAGCAGTGTACTTCGCGCAGGTCCGTACAGCGCACAGCCAGCAACTCCAGCGCGGCGTCCAACTCCGCTGAGGCAGCGGCGCGCACCTCGAGCGCGCGCAAGGTTGAGGCATAATGGCGCGCAGCAAAGCGCACCGGACCTACGGTGTCCCCAGAGAGACTGAGGCGCAGCGCAGCCACTGGCACGGCAGGCTGCAGGACCCGCGTCACGCTCTCGTCAGGCAGCGCTGGCTCCAGCTCCAGCTCCACGACCAGGCTTGGGTGGCGGCGGCGCACTGCGGCCCAGTCTTCCTCGGGCAAGGGGGGCGCGCGTACGTCCTCGGGGCACGCGCACCGTAGGGCCAAGTGAGCGAAAGGCGCGCGGTCTGGCGCCGCTAACACCTGGAGGGCGGTGCCCGACAGGCTGGCCAGGTGCAGCCCAAGGGCGCGCAGACGCGGGCAGGCCTTCAGTAGCTCTAGCACGGAGTCTGGACTCACGCTGCCCACCAGCGTACAGTTGTTTAGGAAAAGGCTTCGGAGCTCGGGACAGCCGCGTGACGCCTGCAGCACCAGTGCGTCGTCCAGTGTGAAAGGCAAGCGCCGAAGGTCGAGGTGACGCAGCGCGCAGGAGGCCCGACAGATGGCGTGCACGGCGTCCAGGATGTCGCGGCCTGCGTCGAAGAGGGGCTTTTCTCCGTGGCAATTCAGGAGCAGGCTTCGAAGCCCTGGGGTACGACCCGCCAGTGCCGTCAGCAACTCAGTGGCCGCCCTGCGGCTCGGCTCCCTCGACGGCTCAAATTCCAGCCGTAGATTGTGAACGTGGTCCAGGCAGGCGGACAGATATGGTAGCAGCGTACCTTCTCGCTCACAGTCGTAACTTGTGGTTAGAACGGTGAAGAAAAGGCATTGGCCTCGAGAGGCCTCTGCCTGTCCCTCACCCTACAGTCCCCACTCTGCCCCCTACAATACACCTCCCAGTCCTGATCATTCCTGGTTGCCCCAAAGTAGCCGCTGATTCTAGGGGGACCTCCCACCCTATCCCTTTAGAAGACTTAAGATGCGATGCGCCTGTCACTAGTTGAAACTCTGGCAGCGAGAGCCAATGATATTTTAGGAACTGGGCTTTCTCCGAGGTCTCTACAGAGGCGTGGCATGGCTTCTGAACTGTCAGGTTCCCATTCTGACTCAGCTACTCCTTACCTGAGTGACCTGTAGAAAGTGATTAAATCTCTGCCTCAATTTCTTATCTGTGCAATGGACATAATAATACTACCTATCTACCACATAAGGTTTTCGTGGGGATTAAATAAATTAATATACATAAGGCACTTAGAACACCAGTTAGTACATAATAGGTGGCCAATAAATGTTAGTAATGATTGTGCTTTTTAATATCCCTAACCCCCAACTCCATGGAGAAAGGGAGAAGGCAGGAGGGAGGCGGGGAGGAGGGAGAGGGAGGGGCCGCTCACCTGATGATCGTGTCGTGCCACACCGCGCTGCAGGTAGCAGCAGCAGCCCAGGCTCTGCAGACCCTGGAGGCAGTGGCACGGTCCCGCAGGGGCAGGTGGCGAAAGATAAGCGCCAGCACCTCCTCTGGCAGTTGCTCTCCAGGCTCTGTCATGACCGTGGGCGGGGTGGGAGCTCCGTGCTAACAGCAGTTCTTGCCTGGAGAGAGAAGGGCGTCTCTGGGCTCAAGAAAGCCAAAATGTTGAGGGGACCACCAGAACCTATGTGTAGAAATGCTTGTGGCCCAGGAATTGCTACATAATTTGCAGAACCCAGTGCAAAATGAAAATACAGGACTCTTTGCTGAAAATATTATTAATAATCTCAAGACAGTGACAGCAGAGCATTTGACCAAGGTGTTAAACTAAGCATGAGACCCTGTGCCTCTCACTGAACAGGCCTCAGAACCATGAGGTTGGCCCTGGATGCTTAAAGATTCTTTCACACTACATCCTCACTTGTTGAACAAATCTACATTTTATGCTATACCAGAAGAAATACAGCTACGACCTATGTGCGAAGTTGATAAAGCCGAACATGTAGATTTGGAAAATGCTATCGGGTCTTTCTCCTAGTTACTAAGGTTTACCCTGGGGAAGGTGGAGAGCTGCACTGTACATGACTTGGGACAAATCGTCCTTCCCTCCCTGCCCACCCCCTCCCCAGCTCAAAGAGCTCGTCTGGCCTCTAACTGCCTCCCCATACACACACTCCCCATCCGGACTACCCAGACTAGTCTCCCAGACATCTTCCAGAACTGCTTCCTTCCCTGAACTCTTAAGTTCCAGGGAAGGACTGGGCCCAAGACTCGCCTCAAGGGCCCTTGAAATGAGGGCTTCTCAGATGGCAGGGGCAGTAGAATCACCCGCACACTTGTTCACAATACAGATCCCACTGCCCACATACTAAATCAGGCTCTCTGGAAAGAGTAGGACCCAGGAATCTGAATTTTGAGAAGTGCCGGTTGACTCCACCGGTCCCAATTGAGAAACCACGTCCTAGCCTTGTCAGTCACTAGAGAGTGACGATAAGGTTAATAGGGCGAAAGCATTGGAGAATACTTTTAATTGGCAGGGACCACCAGCCAATCAGGAAGCGGGGGCGCGGGTGGGGCACTGCTGAAACGGCTCTGAGTGAAGGCTCCTTCCTTTTCTCCCCTCCCTGGGGAGAAGTCCCGGGTGCTTCCTGAGAAAGGCCGGAGGGGCGGAGAAAAGCTTCGGGCTTTGAGACCTGAGGGGCCCTGGGTTCAAGTTTCAATCCTGATCCCGGAGCAGTACAGGCTCAGGTTGGGCGATTTAGGTTCAGCAGGAATTCCGCAGACCCATCCCGGAGCGCGGCCTTTGTTGGAAAGTGTGCATCCTCTTCGAAGTTGACAATTTATTTTAGAGTGCTTGAAGGTTTTCCTACACGTTTCACACCACTTGCTAGTTTTCTGTTTTCCCATATTCTCCAGGTTAACTGTCCCTGCTGCAATTTGCGCCTCGTTACCCTTAGGGCTTCAGATACCCTCGGCCAGGCTTGAACTTGGACCCACCGGCACCCCGTTCTGAGTGTCAAGGAGTAGGAGAGGTCAGAGATGATCGAGCTCAAGCCTCCAGGAGGCACTAGAAAATTATGGTGCCCAGGGGGTGCCTCTTTGTTGATCTGTTTCCTGCCTGAGAAAGCGAGGCAGCGCTCTCCCTTGGGGTCCCCTGGACGCGTAAGTGCCGCAAGTGCCCAAAGTCTCTTGCTGTGGGCAGTTCTTCCCGCCGTCTAACCCTGGGCGCCAGTGTCTTACCTGCTCAACGGACCAAGGGGGCTTTGCCCAGAGGCTGTGGACTGGCGCCTGAGGACAGTGGGAGGGAAGGAGTCACAGGGAACACGGGGGGCGGGACGCCCGGGCTGACGGGGCTGCTCCGGCTGGGGCGCCGCCCCTGCGCTCCGCGCACACCCGGAAGCAGCCTAGTCCAGTGGAGCAGGGCGGGCGTGGGAATCCGGGCTGGGCCCAGGCCGCGAGGTTAGTGCAGAGGATGGGTGGGCTTTCCCGGGTGCCGGCAGAAACAGAGGCGGATCCCGGCTCAGGAGCGTGGGTGCAGCGCGGTTGTCACCCGCTGCTGCCCGGGCCAGCTGGTGGCGGCGGCCTATTGGGGTGTTTCCTTGGCAGGCGAAAGAGAGTGTACGGACGTTGGCACTAGCGTTCCTCATCCCAGCTAGGGTCTTTCGGTGGTGGCGGGGGGCGGGTGGTCAAGTTCCTACTGGTGGGAAGGCGGGGCGGGGCTCGTTCTGACTTTGTCTGTGAGCAGAGACCTGTTCCCGCCCTAGCCAATTGCACTTGCGAAACCGCAGCACGAGGGTGGGCGCAACTGGAGGCTGGGCAGAGGGGCAGCTGAGTAGGGGGACGCGCCAGGATGGATGCAGTTCTTGAGAGGCTCTGGCCGCGGGCCTTTGCTGTCCACCCAACCGGAGGTGGAGCTGCCCCAGGACAGTTAGGCTATATTAATGGGACCCTGCGCCTGGTTGGCCTCTGGTAGTAGGGGCCTATTTTCTTTAGTTGGTACCCGCGTGTCCCTCTCAGTCTCAGCTCAGTGAAGAGTCTTCTTGACCCAGCCCGGCCCCGCCCTCAGAGAGGCGGACTGCGGGTGGATGACGCGCGCGGGGCTTCCCGAGGAGGGGCTTCTGTAGAACGACACGCAGGAAGAGGTTGCTCAGTGGATAACTCGAGCCAAGGGTCCCCGTCCTCGTCTCAATCCTATTATCTGACCCTCCAGACCTCCAGCCCAACCTGTTTGAATACTCCCATTTGTCCACTAGTGAGTGTGATAGAACATCCCCCCCTTCCTTCAGGTTTCCAGGGCCCGCCCGCCCTGACAGTCCTGATGGGCAGACTCTGGCCCCGTCCCAGACCCCCACCGCTGCAACTTCCACATTCATGAGGTCAGCACCTTCAAGTCAGGGGGCTAAGAAGACATGGAAGAAGAAACGTTTCAGGGCAGGTTCCCACACTTTCCTGCCCTCTGGGCCACTCCCCCTGGGCTCCTCACTTTTGTCACTTGTCTTGTACTGCTCTTGGTCCCACTTATCACCTATAGAGTCTTACCCCGTTTTTTTTTTTTTTTT